ATTTGGGGGTGGAGTGGGGAATGGGATCAAAAACAGGGGGTTGGGGAGGGAAGTGCACGGGACTATGGTGATGGCACATGGGTGATTTGGTGATGGGAAACCCACGTGGATTATAATTGAGATGAAAAAAAAAATGTACAAAATGATGTAAAAATAAACTGTTAGAAAATAAAAAAAAATTTTTAAAAATCTGTCAAATCATATTATAATAAATTATATTCTGTCATTAGTTAAAAAAAATGTCTCTGGTATATATTTTTCCATTATTATTATTTTCTCCCCTGGTCTGTTATACTCCTGCTATGAGTGAAACCATCTGGTGTTTTTCCTTTTCTTTCTGGCTTATTTCATTAAGCATGATCCCTTCCAGGTCTGTCCATGTTGCTACAAAAGATGTGTGTTTATCTTTTTGCCCACTGAGTAATATTCCATTGTGTATATGCACCACATCTTTTTAATCCAATCATCCACTTTTGGGCATTTGGGTTGTTTCCATGTCTTTCCAATTGTAAATAAAACAGCAATAAACATGGGAAGCCCACTGGCTTTTATGAGGCCAGGTGTCAGGTGCTAGGCAGACACCGTTGGCCTTTTTGTTTTGTTTTAATTTTGAACTTGAATGACTTAAGAAGTATGCTAAATTGAAAAATTTGAAAGAAGTAAAAGACTGGGAAGCCTTCGACACACCGGCTTTGCCTTTCTGGGTCGGCAGCCTTTCCTAAGCAGAAAACCGCATTCTGTTCCTGTATTTGTTCTGGTGGCAGAGGCGGTATTTCGGTGTCTCCCCCCCCCCCATTTCCCAGCCTCTCGATAGCAGAGAAACTTGCATTTGCCAGGACCTTCTGGCACTTTACCTATTAGTGTTGGCTCTTACTTCATTCATTAGCAAGAATGAAATCTGGGAGGACTGTGAGGACAGTTTGGAGCATGGTGGCGTTGTTTTTCACCGTCTGGAGCCACTAGCTTGCTTTCCTGAGGTGACCCCCTTCTCTGGGCTTCTCTACGTTGGGCGTGGTCAGTGAGTTGAGAAATGTCAGCTTCATGACTCTTCTGAGTGGGGCCGCTGTGGCTCCCCCTGGAGGAGCAGAGAGCTGAAAGGGGGGACCTCCAGGACTGGGGTACGGGCCTAGTCACCTCAGCTGTGGGGCCTCAGGTGCGTGACTCAGCCTTCCTGTGCCCCTCAGGCTCCTCATAAAACAGCAGTAGGAATGCTGCAGTCGCTCTGAGGGGACACAGTGGGTGAGCGCCTGTGCGGACAGCGGGCGTCCCACGAGCGGTCAGCGCGCAGTGAGCGCTGGTCCACGAGCGGTCAGCGCGCAGTGAGCGCTGGTCCACGAGCGGTCAGCGCGCAGTGAGCGCTGGTCCACGAGCGGTCAGCGTGCAGTGAGCGCTGGTCCACGAACGGTCAGCATGCAGTGAGCGCTGGTTTTGTCATCTGTTCCTGTGTGCTGGTTGGAAGTCTTCCTAACTGTAGACGATTTCAGATATTTAGATAGAAATCTGGAATATTATAGCCACACCTTTATTAAAATTGTTTCTGGACTGTGGGGGAACATTCAAGGAATAATTTTTTCATGAGAACTTGGTTTTCACCTTCTTATGCTGAAGCCCCAGGGATGATGATCTTCCCGGAAATCACATACACGCCTGGGCTCTGGACTTGTGCCTCGGTCTGTTTGACTCCGTCCCCACCATTTATTTCCTTGAGCTTCAGCCTTGTGTTTTCATGGTGGGGCCGGCGCTGCCTGACTGGCTGAGAAGAGAACCCCGGGGTTTTCAAGCCATTGTGCCAGGGGCCGCCTTTACCCAGCACGCAGGCGGGAGGGACAGAAAGAGACACCACACGGAATGTCTGGTCAGTGCTACCTTCCTTATTAGGGTTACAGCGACAGCTGCGAATCTGTCTCTGATAGTTTGTTCTCTAACGGGGAATAAAAGAGCTTCTGAAATCGTGCATATAAAATAATCAGATGGAATTAGCACCCTCAGAAGCAGTGCGGCGCAGTCCTGAGTATCTCGTCTTTGGGTGGCACTTGTGGTACTAGCTGAAGATGAATTTCCTGCCCCACAAGGGACTCTGAGAGGGGCAACGACAGGAATAAAGATGAAGTCACACTTAATACTTCAAACATGAGCCCTGGTTTTGGCAAATGAAACCATCCTGTCTCTGTCCTTTGCTTCATCTGCCAGCCAGCTGGGTATGGCATTCTTGAGCAGAAGCAGTGCCAGGGTGGAACTTGACCGTCCGCTGACAGTTCATTCCTTTACACCCTATTGTAGAAGGAAGTGCTGAGTTATGGGATAGTCATAGGCTTTTTATTGGTCATTTCTGTGCCAAAGGTATGAGAAGCAACTAGTCCCCCAAATTGCAGGACCCAGCCCAGGTTTACTCTGCTCTTCAAGGAGTTGCTCCCAAGTCCGCACTGTCAACCTCGACTGATTGTCCCCTCCCTGCAGGAGGAGCTTGTAGTGACAGGGAAAAGTCCCTACCTTTTCCCTCAAGCCAGA